CCACGCTCTCGCTCCCAGTCCACGGTGACTTTGCAACGTCTGTTCCAGATCTTAGTCCGTCCTACTTCCTCGATGGCTAGGACCCACGGGTGCCCCTGATCCATTTACAGCTACTAGGGATCATTCCAGACAGGGCCAAAACTGCCAAAGACGAGGTCTTCGTTGTCGCTACTGCATGTACAAGTACTTATCATATATATACCTCTAAATATCTGCTAAAATATCAAAAGCCCGGCTAACTCAATCGGTAGAGTGTCAGACTTTTAATCTGAAAGTTGCGGGTTCGACCCCCGCGTTGGGCGTTACTTTTTAGGCTATATACTGTAATACTATTTTTTTAGTACTTTAGGGGAAAAGGAGGGTTTAATTTAATTGACAACCCGGGTTGCTCGAATTATTTTACAACCCCTCGGCTTTCCGTGTTAAGTCCCTGTAACACACTTTTCGCGTTCTTATTTCCACATTGCCTTGTTTTTATAACAAACACTCGCAGTTTTTGCGCTCAACTGGTTGCCAGCCCCCCTGCAGTCCGCGTCATGAAGCTTATGTCCCTTGTCGTCGTCAACACGGCTTGTAGTTAGCTAAAAAGTGTCATATTCAACGACAGTGCTCCAATGATCACCTTCAAGGACATGTGCTTAAAGGGAGAGCGAAGGAAAACAAGACTTTCCAAAGAGTTTCACCTCTTTTCTTCATGTTTGTTTTCTCAAAAATAGAAAAAGTGTGTTACATAGACTTAGTACGGAAAGCCGAGGGGTTGTAAAATAATTCGAGCAACCCGGGTTGTCAAGTAGATTAATCCAAGGAAGGATAACGGTGAACGCTTTATTCGTCTCGGATGATGGATGTCGATATTTCTCTTTTTTTTATTTTTTTATTTTCTGTAACCGGCGAGGAAGAACATTATAGTACAGGGTTCGGGGAAAGGGGGTAAAGGTGAGGAAAGATGACGACTCGAAGTGTATGATTATAAAAAACATTTCCGTCACAAGGGCATGCTCAGACTGCTCCGCCGCTGTGGGAGACCATGGCCACGAGAGCAGCACCGATGCATCCGCCATCGCGAGCGAGCTCGAGACGGATACGGGAAGCGCGATCCTGACCTAAAATGTCAATCAAGGACTCCATCATGCTGTGGGAGAACTGAGGGTACTTTTCAAAGACAGAGCCGTCAATACCAATGGTGGTGATCTCGTTAGGGTCATCCAGCTTGACAGAGGCACCGTTGGCCTTGTACAGGAGAGCAACACAGGCAGCAGCTGTCATGGTGGCCGAACGCTTTCCGATGGCATGAATCAACTCAAAGATGCCAGCGCGGTCTTCCTTGGTCAAGCCCTCGATGCCAAAGCTGGTCTTGAAGACCTTGTCAACACCAATGTGCTCAGGGGTATGGTCAGACTCGATCGTGGACATGAAGAGGGTCTTGAAAGCCAAACGGTGGCTGAGGGATTCGGGGACCTTGCCGCCCAAGAACTCAAGGAGGACATTCTGCTCAATCAAATCGACAAGGGCCAGACGGACCAACTCACCCATGTAGAGACCCGAGACCATCTTTTCAAACTCTTGGAAGCCAGGGACCAGTGAGACAGCATCGATCTGTTTGTCGTACTTGGTCTGGGGGAGGTATTCGGCCTTGCCCATAGCATCCCATTCGGTATTAAGGATCATTTGATCACAAGCAGGACCGTTGTACTTTGAGACCTCGGAGGCGCGCTCAATATAGGCGGCGTTGGTACCGGTGGCCAAAATAACACCAATCTTGGTGGAAGGCGAGACGTAGGCGTGGGAAACAAGGGTACCGACAGTGTCGTTGATGATGGCGGAGACCTTGACGTTGAGGTTCTTGCGGATGAATCCATCCTCGAGCAAGTCCTTAAGATCCTTGCCTATCACGTCCGAAAGATTGAAGCCCTTGCCCATGGCCAGGACCTTTCCTCGGTTGATGGCGGTCTGCCTGAAAAGGGATGCAAAGATGAAATGAAGTGAAGAAAAATAAATTATCAGGACATGCAGAAAAGAATTTGAAATATGACCGACTAACCGATAGGCGCCATCCCTAACGAGCTGGTCCTTACTGGATGGCGAACGAGAACGTCACTCCCATCTGGAGCTCGGCATTGCCCATATCCAGGGCAACAGTCTTAAGCAGGGCAGCAGTACAGTCGGCAATCCAGTCAAACATGGTCTCGCCGGCGCCAGTCTTGAGTTCGTGAGTAATCTCGTGCTTCTCCATGGTAACACCGACTTGTCCGTCTCCAAGAAGGTGGACGGCGGCGGTGCGTAGGTTGGTGCCACCCATGTCAATGGCAAGGTAGAGACCAGTCTCCTGACCAGTGGGTAGACGGGTGATGAACGAAGGCTGCTGAGTGATGTTCTTGGGGTCGTTGGTGGACAGACCTTCGACCAGCTCGTCCGTCAAACCATCAATGATCTTCTTGACCTGGTCCTTAGAAAGGACAAACTGGCTGACGGTGTCTTGGAAGGTGGAAGAGGTCATGGCTAGGAGATGAGGGGATGAATGAGTGGGGAGGGGGGAAGGAGAGGATGGATGGATGGATGGATGGATGGATGGAATGAGAAAGATAAGTGCGATGAGGGGAGTGAAGGAGAGAGAAAAGAAAGGTCGCTGGGTCGTTTAAATGGCCGCGAGAAAAGTGATCCAACATTGTCCTCGTGCAGCCCCAACCCACACACTCGACTACCTCGCTCAATGATCTCGTTCAACAACAACAACAAAGCAAGAACAAACGCAACAACACATCCATCCTCCCCCACCCCATTCCTCGCCATCGTCCGGTCGCTCACCAGACAAATGCCCTCCTTCCCTTGGCGAGCGGGGTAAAAAAAAAAAAAGCTGACCTTGAACCTTTGACAAACGATGACCGTGGGCAGCACTCGCTTTTCATGACACGGCCAACAACACACGCACACGGCCCTTGACTCCACTCTGCTCTTGCTGGACCTTCTGCAATATGTCTCTGGGTCGTAGATGGTGTATCTACTCTACATTTGTCTTAACCTCTTCTCACCCTCGACGGACAAATTCAACTGGATAGACCAGAGGCTGTATCTTACCATGAATCCGAGAGCTCTTTCGCAATGATCTGTCCCCAACAGGATCTGTTGTAAACACAAGAGGAGCAACAAACCTCATCCATGCTTGGCATTTTCACTTATTTTTTGTATATGTTTTTTAGATTTGGACCCGTTGCCAATCAGTTATGTACCCTTGATTCAGCAAGGTAATCTACAGTAGAGACCTTCAGTATGTAATGTAAGAGGAAACACAATCTTCCGTTGCACTTTTCCTGAGATGGATTCTAATAAAAATCCTCGACAGTGCTGTGAATGAAGGAAGGAGAGGGAGAGAGTCGGCGTAGGCGTGAGAGCAGCGAACCTTCTTTGCTCAGTGTTGCTGTCTCTGTCCTTCTTGATGATCTTATCGAAACTCTGATCTTTCCTCTCCTCTCTATCCATGTCCTCCCTTATTCGCTCGGCCAGTCGGCTGATTCTCTTTCTTTCCTGGTCTCTTTTTCTTGCGTTGTCCAAGACCACTACGCCTCAAAGGACAACATAGGAGAAAGGAGTTCATCGAACGGCGTTCTCGGCATCATGCTTTGAGCTATGGCTTGAAAGTTTACAGCGTACCCCCACTGAACTCTACCCCTATCATTCTTTCTTTTCTCGTTCATCCTGTTACTCCACATACAGAACGGTCATGCGATGTGCGTTGTATTGTTCTTCCAGCCCATTGTAATATGTACATGGTGGTAGCACAATGCCATCGTCACACAAGATCTCGCGATAAAAAAGAATAGCCAAGAGAAAAGTCCCTTTCCCTTTCTCCATTTTCGTTTCTCTGTCTGCTCTCCTTCGGTTCACATCTTGCCCTCAAAAGACATGGTGAACAGCTGGCGCATAGGGCGAATGCGACATAGCAATGTGGAGGCGGCTGTCGGGGCTACTTTGAATGCTGCATTTCAAATAATAAAAATCATGCTTTTGTATATAACATGCGTCGGAATGAACATCAGTTCAGATCATGCAAGATATGTTATCTGTCAGCACTTCTTTCCCCGTACCTCCTTCCCTTCTATTCCACGAATAACGATATTGAGGATAACATTGTTCAATTGATTTCTTCATATCAATCTTTTCTTCATTCAAAAGTATGTGTAAGAGCTCCAGTCTGATGAAAAAGACGAGCCGACAACTATTGGGGAATCATGACAGTGCAGTTACAAAAGAAGAAGGATGGTCCTTTTTTTTCTTTTCTTTTTTTTCCCCCCTTGTTAAAACTTCTCTACGGTCTCTACATCAATTGAATTGAGATCCACCTCCTCGCCCGCGACAAAGACGCGTTTCACATACAGGTCATCCGATAAAAAGACCAGATCAGCATCCGCTCCGGGCTTGATCACTCCCTTGGTCTCCTGGATTCCGAGCAACACGGCCGGGTGCAGTGTTACGGCCTCCAAGGCCTCGATCAAGGAGCAGTGCGTGAATTGGATAAAGTTGCGCATGCATGCGTCCAAGGTGATCACACTAGAAGAAGGGCAGCAGAGATCGCCGTCGGCATTAAGATCAGTACGTGCTTTGATGGAGCCCAGCTGGGACTGGCTCTCACTCCCACTTTCACTGCCGCCACCAGAGGAACAGTCGCACTCGCTCCTCTCACGCTGAATATCGGCAGATGCGTCCTGTTGGTATTGATGATGTGCATGATGATGATGATGATGATGATGATGATGATGATGCTGGTCTTGGTGTAGAATGACGTGATGCTGATGATGATCTTGATAATCGATAGACTCCTTCTTGGAGACCGGCAGTAGCCCCAGCTCGGCATTCTTTCCCTCGTGCATAACCGTATCGTGGGACCCAGCGCTGTCGACTGTCGACACTCCATCGAGCTCATCATCGTCCTCCTCTGTCAGATGGAGAGTAATGATGCGTAGACTGTGTTCTGACCCTTCGTGTTCTTCACAGTCTTCATAAACATCGTATTCCTCGTATTCGTGCAAGTGGTGGATCGTAGATATTGTCCACTCATAAGAACTACTGCGGGTCTCGAGGGGAGCGTAAGGAAAGTCGACGAGCTGCAGGTGGTGTGCATCATTCGGCGATCCAGGACTCATCTTGAGCGGCGACAAGGGTGTCGAGCCTGGAGGAGTAGGAAGAAAACCGTCGCCATGATGCTCGATGCGCCCGTCGTCCGTAGGAGAGAAAGAGTCCACGGTTCTGCCAGTTGTCATCTCAATCGTGAGCCCTTGAGCAACATCCAGCTTCAGTTTGCCTGCAT